CTTCCAGGGATTCACTCGATCTCTGCTGTCTATACCTGACACATGCTTCCTCCTTAATACCATCAAAATTTAACTTTTAGATCTGGTCTATCTGTTTCCATCACTTTTTAAAAAACTAATAGAATTACGGTCACTTGTCTCAAAGCGCTCCCCCACTGACACCTCAGTCACCTGCCCTGCCTTATTTCCCAAGAATAAGTCAGGTTTTGCACATTCTGTAGTAGGTACATCCATATACTGAATCAGAACATTTTCTTGTACACACCTAACAAATTCCTCTCCATCCAAGCCCATAGCTATGGCAGTCCCAATCTATGTTTGGAAAGTTAAAACCCACTACCGTAACGACCCTATTATTCTTACAGATAACTGAGATTTCCTTACAAAACTATCACTCAATTTCCTGCTAACTATTGGAATGGCCTATAGTACAATCCCAAGATGATCATCCCTTTCTTATCTCTCAGTTCCACCCAAATAACTTTCCTGGATGTATTCTTGGGAATATCCTCCCTAAGTACAACCACAATGTTATCCCTAATCAAGAACACCACTCCCCCTCTTGTCTTGCCCCACCCTTTACATCCTTCCTGTAGCATCTGTACCATAGAACATTAAGCTGCCAGTCCTGTCCATCCCTGAGCCACGTCTCTATAATTGCTATGATATTGCAGTTCCGTGTTCCCAACCATGCCTGAGTTCATCTGTCTTACCTGGTAGGCCACTTGCATTGAAATAAACGCAGTTTAATTTATCAGTCCTATCTTGTTCTTTGCTTTATAGCTGCGTGCTCTGACTGTTTGACTTGCTCCTTTTTCCAATTGTACCCGTTTCAGACTGATCTCTTTCCTCATTGTCTCCCTGGGTCCCAGCCAATGCCCCCTAGTTTAAATCCTCCTGAGCAGCTCTAGCAAATCTCCCTGCCAGTATTTTGATCCCCTTCCAATTCAGGTGCAATCCATCCTTCTTACACAGGTCACTTTTACCCAGAAGAGATTCCAATGATCCAAAAATGTGAATCCTTCTCCCATGCACCTCAGCCACACATTCATCTGCTGTATCCTCCTATTCTTACCCTCACTAGCTCGTGGGACCGGGCTTAATCCAGGTATTAATCCAGTTGAGGACCACCTTTTTAAATTCCTGCCTAACTTCCTATATTCTGTCCTCTCAATTTTGTCTTTTTCTCTTCCTATGTCTTTAGTTCCGATGTGTACAATGACTTCCTGCTGGTCCCTCTCGCCTTGAGAATATGCTGCACTCCCTCCAAGACATCCTTTGTTCTGGTACTAGGGAGGCAACACACCATTCTGATGTCTTGCTGTCTGACTGGAGGGTCCCCATCACAATCAATCGCTTAGAACCTGACATACTCCTCATTACATTAGAGCTAGTCTCTGTGCCAGAAACCTGGCTGTCTGTGCTACACTCCGCTGAGAGTCCATCACTCCTTGCGTTTTCCAAAACAGCATACTTGTTTGAGATGAGGATAGCCACAGGACACCCCTGCACAACCTGCTTCCCTCTCCTACCTTTCCTGGACGTAACCCATCTCTCTGTCTGTATCTTTGGTTTATCTCCCTTCCTGCAACTGCCATCCATTACACCCTCTAGCTCCTGTAAATTCCTCATTGCCTCTAACTGCCATTCCAGCCAATCCATGTGATCCAATAGGATTCACAACCAAACACACTTATTGCAGACATAATCACCCCTAACATGGAAGCTTTCCCTAATCTGTCACATCCAACAGGAAGACCACATCATTCTACTAAAGGCCATCTTTGCACCTTAACAATCTACAGCCCCTGAAAATAGTCTAAAACACGCTCTGCTCCAGGTTAACTTAATACATCTGTTTTATATAGAATCCCTACAGTTTGGAAATAGGCCATTCAGTCCAACAAGTTTACACTGACCCTCTGAAGAGCATCCCACCCAAACCCATAGCCCTACCTTTTCCCTGTAACCCTGCATTTCCCATGGCAAACACACCTAACCTACATATATGGGCAATTTAGCACGGCCAATCCACCTGAATTGCGCATCTTTGGACTGTGGGAGGAAACTGGAGCACCCGACGGAAACCCATGCAGACACGGGGAGAATGTGCAAGCTCCTCAGATAAGTTGCCCAAGGTTGGAATTTAACCCGGATCCCTGGTGTTGTGAGGCAGCAGTTTAATCACTGATCCACAGATCTCGATAAAACATATAATCAAAAAAGAACCCACTCTACACACTATCGTGGATTTATAAAAGTAAGGTTACAATTTTTAAAAAAGCCACTTAGCTGCTGTCCTGCTGTGAGCTCTCCCACACAGATTTCTCCAAAGTCAGCTCTGAATTTTGCAGTTTGTTAATTTTTTTCTTAGAACCCCGCCAATGTCCAAGGGTACTTGAAATCAAACAGCAGAACAGTCAGCTGTAGAGATTCGCTGCTGGGACAGACAGCAGTGCATTTTAATTTCTCTGTTTGATTCACTGCCCATGTGGTCACTGCCTTTGTTTGTCTTCCTCCTTTCTAAGGTGTTGTCGTTTTGACCTTTTTCCCCCAAAGTTCCAAAATAATGCAACAACTTATAAAATAGTAATTACTGCTCCTAGAATTCGAGGGAATCAGCTGCAACACTGAAAATACCTCAAAAAATGAGTAGCTCTCATAGCCACAATTTTTTTCCCATCCTCCATCTTGGATTACCCAGAATCCGCTTCAATTTTATTTTTGCTAGTTGCTTGGCACAGTGCCAAGTTACTTCTGAAAGTCTGTTAAAATAACCTACATAGATAGTCCTTGACTTTTTATTTAAAAAGTCAACTATGTTAGATGTGACTTTGTACAAAATGATACTGGTTCTGTCTGATCAGTTATCCCTGAATTGTATTACTTTTTATACTTTGCTGTTTTCAAGTTTAGTCATAGCGTCGTACGGCATAGAAACAAGCCCTTCGGTCCAACCTGGCCGCACCAACCAACATCCCAATCTTACTTAATCCAGTTTGCCAGCATTTGGCCCATTTCCTCCAAACCCTTCCTATTCATATACCCTACAGATGCCTGAAAAATGTTGCAATTGCACCTGCCTCCATCAGTTTCTCTTTCGGTCGTTCCAAATACGCACCACCCTTTTGTATGAGAAAGTTACTCCTCAGGTCCTTTTTAAATCTTTCCCTGCTCACCTTAAACCTGTGCCCTCTAGTTTTGGACTCCCCCACCCTAGTAAGAAGACCTTGTCTATTCACCCTATCCGTGCCCCTCCTGATTTTATAAACCTCTATAAGGTCATCCCTCAGCCTCTGATGCTGCGGGGGAAAAAACTCTGGCCTATTCATCCTCTCTTCATAACTCAAACCCTCCAGTCCCAGCAACATCCTTGTTATTTTTCTGCACCTAGCTCAGATTATTTGACTGTTAACAGTCTACTCTATGGTATACATATTTCCTAACCAACCTGTTCAGAAATATTATACACCTCTGGAGCAGGTGGGACTTGAAATCCAGGCTTCCTGGTCCCGTGTTAGAGTCACTACCTCTATGGTATGGTATTGTGTTTTCACTGGGCATTCAAATATCCATGAATTTACCCTGAAACACGTTATCCTCATATTTTAGAATACTAATTGAATTCAGAATAATTTTATCTTAAATATACATTACTCAACTTGTGTTGAAATCCTTAATTTCAAAGGACATCTCAAAACTCTAACATCTTGCTGGCTGCCCTCACTAAAGTAATTCTAACCTTCTTGACTGAATGTAATATATATTTAAATTGTAACTCTGTACATTAAGAAATTGATGTTTACTAAATTTTTGCGATTTTCTGTTATAATCCATTTCTGTTATGATACATTTGACATTACGTATTTCTTAGTGGACTATAGCTACTAAATTAAATATGCTAACATACGGAAATGTTTATAAATTGAACTTAATTTACGGGGTAGACTAGCTCACGAGTAACTTTAAGCAAGTTACGGTTGATCTTACTTCGAGCAGATCGCTTGCCAATTAAAACTACTTTTGTACTTGGAAATATTATTATTGATGATCTGAGTGTTGTGAAGAGTTGACTGTCTTCTCCTTGATCTCCTGAAAGTACGTTCAAACCCATATTAAGTCTTTAAAAAGATAATAATATAGAATAATATAGACAATGAGTTCTAAATGAAATGTATTTTGGGATGGAGTGATTTCTTCAATGTTTATAGTGTCTCTGCACCAAATTGCAAAATAATACTCTTATGTCAGGTGTGAGTAACTGAAATTGGAATTGTGCGTTCATGTGCCAGAAAATTATTCTCTTTGCTGCAGTAATGCAGTTCTGCGAGAACTCTGTGTTCTCTCAGGATTTGCAGCACCTTTTTAATAACTAACCCCAGGCCTGTGTTTCAATGATGAGCATTATTTCCTTTCCTCCACACCACACAAAGTAGAAAACATGGCAGTTCTCCCATGAGAGAAATCAGGAAACTGTCTCTTAAAGATATTTTAAATATATTGCAAGGTAAGTTGAATGATCCTCTCCTTTCCTTTCCATGCTTTTTAAAATTCACCTGCCCTGCATTTTGCCACTTTTTACAATCATATGAAAAATATTTTATCCATTGTGCAATTTTTGCAGCTTTTGCCTTTAATTTTGAGTGACTTTTCAGCCTGGTTGTTAGTACATTTAGCATGGTAAGGTACAGAGGCATCAAGATGCTTTCTGTATTTACCCCATTGGGTCTGTCTGTCCCATGGGTTGGAGAAAGAATGTATATTGGATGATTTGTATTTGGATCCAAATTCTGTTGGATTCAAAGTCTCCCAACTTTACTAAATTATGTTCTAAATTTTAAGTCTGCAATGGATGTTGTAATTACCTTTGTAGACATTAATAGAAATATACCTGATGACTGTGTTGCTTTGAAATTTGTTGTGATTTGAATTCTTGAAATACTTCTTCAGGATAGCATATGACATTAATCTTTTGAATTGTTATGCTTTAATTCCAACAGCACGAATTCTAACCACAGCTGACCAAAGAGCACGTGAAGAATCCTAGCGCTTTCAAAACACTGGCTATTGTGTCATTTGTTATTTTCTAATCCCAGAGTAGGGGAATGAAGCTACTCAGGAACTCACTCCATTTGAGTTGTACCAGTAGCTTGATTCTTAGTTTTTGGGTGCTTGCGTGAACCATCGATACTATGCTTACATATAGTGTTAAGCAGTTTTGTGCTCCTTATCCAAGGAGAGATAGTCTTGCATTAGAACCCGGTTAGAGAATGTTCATTAGATTGATTCCTGGGATGAAGAATTATTTGTGGTCTATACTCATTGGAGTTCAGAAGAATTCCTAAGGAGACTTGACAGCCTAGATGCTAAGAGGATGTTATTAATCTAGAACCAGGGAATGTCCCATTTGATACACATTGGAAGAGAAATTTCCATTTGCTCAACATTTGTTACTTTTTAAAATTCTCTACCTCAGAGAGCAGAGGAGGCTGAGTCATTCAGGGCTGAGTTCATTGGAATTTAGAAGAATGAGAAGCGATCTTATGGAAACAAAATTATGAAGGTCACAAGATAAGATAGAAGGAGGAAGATTTTTCCACTGTGAGTGAAACTAGAACTAGGAGCCATAACCTCAAAATAAGGAGGAGCAGAATTAGGACTGAGTTGAGGGGGAACATCTTCACCCAAAGAGTTGTGAATCTGTGGAATTCCCTGCCCAGTGAAGCAGTTGTTACTGCATTGTTGAATATTTTTAAGGCAAAGATAGATTTTTGAACAGTAAAGGAATTAAGCGTTATGGTGAGCGGGCAGGTAAGTGGAGCTGAGCCCACAAAAGGATTAGCCATGATCTTATTGAATGACGGAGCAGGTTTGACGGACCAAATTGCCTACTGCTGGTCCTACTTCTTATGTTCTTATGAGTTAGACAGATTTTGGACATATAGCATATAGGAGATTTCAGGGTTACGGGATAGACCAGAAAGTCGATTGCGCCATGATCAAATCAACCATAAATTTATTGAATGGTGGAATAGGCTCAAGGTCATGACTGGCCTACTCATGTTTCTAACGTTTTTATGTACCCTGATGCAATACAATGCAGTGAGCTGCACTCATATAGAGGAGAAGGATGCATATTTTAGACATTACTAGGCTTATATTTCCCAGAATTTAAATGGGCATGGGTTGTTTCAAAGTTTTCAAGGTATTAGAAGAATTGATGGGGCTGATTAGGTGAAAATATTTGTGCTGGTTAAGAAGTCTAGGACTAAGAGCATAATCTAAAAATTAGAGCCAGGTCTTCCAGGATTGAAGCTAAGAAAGACTTCTTTCTACACACAAAACTGGTTTGGAACTCTCTCAACGGCAATTGATTGTTGTAGATTTTAGAAATGAGATTGAAATATTTTGCTAACAAGGTACTTTTAAGAGATGTGAGACAAAGGTAGGTGCGTGCAGTTAGGTCACACATTAGCCATGACTATACCGCAGAACAGGCTCAAGAGGCTAAATGGCCTACTCCTGTTCCTTTGTACATTGTTTTTGATTGTGTTTTAATGCTCAGTCCTTCACAATTGAAGAATTTTGCTTCTATATTTGTGTCCCCTAGAGATTCAGCTGGAAGTTTACAATTTTGATTTGGCCTATTTGAAGCTTTACCTTTCCGTACATATCAACCTAGAAAATAAAGTATAATGATAACACCGTGTGGAGCTGCAGGAACACAGCAGGCCAGGCAGCATTGGAGGAGCAGGAAAGTTGACATTTAGGGCAGGACCCTTCTTCAGAAAAAGAAGTATAACTGGTCACTGGTTTCAAAAAAACCTGATGTAGTCCTCAAAAAAATTAACAACTCAAGATTGATCCTACCAGTAGAAACAAGTACCAATATATACACAGCTGTAGATCGTTGAACACCTGAAAAGTTTATGGCTGATCTCCACAATATCTGCTCCATATCCTGTAATGTAAAAACAGAAATATGTCAGTCTCTGGTTTAAAATTTACAGTTGATCAATCATCAATTTCTATTTGCAGAAGAGTTCCAAACTTCTATGACACATAGCATGTAGCAATATTTCCTAATTAAACTTCAGTAAGGCGTAACTCTAATTTTCATACTGTGACCCCCTAGCCCTAGACTCTCCAACCAGCAGAAGTAACTTTTTTTCCATTTTGTCTATCTGTCGTCTTAATATCTTGAAAATCATCCGATGTTCTGCTAAATTCCAGGAGTACCACCCTAATTTGGGAAATGATTCCTTATAATATAATCGTTGGAGTCCAGAAATTATTCTGATAACCCACACTATATTCCCCGCAAGGCCAATATATCCTCCCTAAGTAAAACATAGAAATTGCTGGGAAATGCAGAAGGTCTGCCAGCATGTGTGGAGAGAGAAATGAAGTTAACTTTTTTCAAGTCTAACGTAGCTGTTCTTCACAACTTTTTAAGGTAAGGTTGCCAGAACTGCGTCAGAATTCCAGATTAGCCTAATGAAGATTTTGTATAGCTGAAGCATGACTTCCAGTACATTGCTTTCTAGTGCTCTAATTCCATTAGCTTCTTTGATTGTTTGTTCATGTCATTTTAATAATCTGTATATTTGGATCCAAATTTTATTTGGATCGCAGTGGTTTCTAGATTTTCACCATTTAGAAAATTCCCTGTTCTATCCTTTTTAAGTTCAAAGTGGAGGATCTCACATTTGCTTTGATTGAAATCAATTTGCCACAGTTTTATCAATTCACTTAATTTTTCCTTCCCTTTGTGTTTTTTTGCTTCTGTCTACATTGCCTGCATCACTGCCTATCTTTGTGACACTGACAAATTGGAGCATATGGCTTTCTATCCCATCCCATTCATAACAGCAAATAATGGGAACCCCAACACAGGTCACTCTAGGATGTTGCAATTCCCATCCTTCCAATCAGAATACCTGCTCATTATACCTGCTGTTTATCTCCTTGCATAATTTCCACACCAAACCAACAATTTGCCTTCAATTTTATCTTGTAGTCTCTTATGAAGGATCTTATCAAATACCATCTGAAAGTCCAAAGAAATAGCATTCATTTGAATTCTCCTGTCCAAACTTTAATTCACTTCTTCAAAAAAAAATTAGACTTATTATGCATGACCTACTCTTTGCAAATAACCTCTCATCAGCTGAAAATTTGTCAAGATATTCAGTCATCTTATTCTTAATTGTAGATTATGATATTTCCAAACAAAACAGATATTAGCCTATCTTGTCTATAATTGCCTGGTTTCTCACTGCCACATTTCTTAAATAGCAGGCTCAGGATGGAAATGTTAGCATGGGAGCAAGATGATTTATTGAGATGGCAAGCAGCTAGGACAGTGACCTGCTATAGTTTTCCAATGAAGTTCAACACAAGTTGGAGGACTGGAGTCTCATTTTCCAGTTAGGCTCTTTAAAGGCTCTAGGACTTAACAATGAATTGATCAGCTTCAGAGCATGGCCTGTGTCCTCTATTTTAATTACTCCATCAACCCTAGAGCAGTGTCCCATTTCCACCTTATTGGCTTTGCGCTTAGTTGAGTGGGTCCATTTTCTCCTTTTCCAACCTATCATTTGCATCTGTTCTACATCTTTATCTCTCCTTTGCCATCATGAGCACTCCCTTTGTATTTTGCTCTGGGCACCCTCACCATTTGTTCCACTCATTCCTCCTCCTTCTCCTCGGTCAACAGAATGAAAATCATAATTTCCCAATTCCTTTCAGCTCTGAAGAAGTCATATCAGACAAGTAATATTGATTGTATCTTTCTCAACAGATGGTGCTAGACCTGCTGAGTTTCTCGAGCACTTTGTTTTATTTCAGAAAAGCACTCTGTCTTGCCAGATGGATTTCACTGAAACAGTGGACCCTGTTCCATTCCATGCCCTTTCAAATACTTTTTTTTTAAATTGACCAGCAATGACTCCAGGATCAGTGAATAAAAGAATAAAATTCTCCTGCAAGGCAGAAAGGGAACAAATGGATACTGACACTAACCTTTTGTCATCAGAGCTGTCCAAGTCGTAAAGGGAGTAGCTGCCAGATGGGGAGGCATGAGCACCAACATGAGGGAAATCTGACCTAATCCCCAACAATTTACCTGTCACAGATGTATCTGATCATGATGGCATTGGTAATAAATTATAATAATGACAATCCCATTTTCAGATTCAGGACATTTTATTTCGTTATGTGGCACTAGTGCTAAATTGGAGAGATTCAGAATCAATCTAGGAGCTCAAAGCTGCGCATCCAAGAGACACCAAGAGCCATCGTCAGCAGCCCAATTTTTATTTTGCCATAATCTATAACCTTGATGTCTGCATGTTTCATAGACTGTGATTGCCATTAACCAATCAACTCTGGTTTAAGAAGTAATGTAGATGAGCATCTCAGGAGCAGCACCAAGGAAATCTAAAAATTAGTTGTGAATCTGGTGAAGCCACATCAAGGGGCTGCATTGCATTGCTGAGTCATAGAAATGGCATATTCTTGATGGCGAAGCAATCTTCTACCCAACACATAAGATCAATGCTCACCTATTTAGCCAAACTTACAAAAGTGTTAGATTATTAAACAACAAGTGGAAGGCAGAAGCTAAATGAATATTCTTATCCCAAATGAAGCTGGAGCCTAACCCAAAAGACAAGTTGAAACATTTGTGGCCATTTACAGCCAGAAGCACTTAATGAGTGATCCATTTCAGACTCTTCCTGAGGTCTCCACTATCACAGCCAATCTTCAGTCAATTCAATTAATTCCACGCGATACCAAAAAATGATGGAACACATTGGATACAGCAAAAGTTATTGGCCCAGAGAAGAATGTGTCTCTCTAGTATTGAAGACATGTACTCCAGAACAACATGTGCCTCTAACCAGACTTGTTTCAATAAAACTACAATTGTGGCAAGTTTCCCAAAATATCAGCTGCTATCCAAATTTGGAAATGTATATAAACTGCTTAGAGTTATAGATGTACAGCACAAAAGCAGAGCCTTCGGTCCAACTCGTCTATGCCAACCAGATATCCTGAATAAATCTAGTCCCATTTGTCAGCATTTGGCCCATATCCCTCTAAACCGTTCCTATTCATGTACCCATCCAGATGCCTTTTAAATGCTGTAATTGCACCAGCCTCCACCACTTCTGGCACTTCATTCCATACACGCACAACCCTCTGCATGAAAAAGTTGTCCCTTGCGTCTCTTTTAAACCTTTCCCCCTCACCTTAAACCAATGCCCTTTAGTTTTGGACTCCCCCACTCTGGGGAAAAGACCTTGTCTGTTTACCCTATCCATGCCCTCATGATTTTGTAAACCTCTAAGGCCACCTGTCAGCGTCCGATGCTCCAGGGAAAATAGCCCCAGTCTATTGAGCCTTTCCCTGTAAGTCAAACCCTCTAACCCTTGCAACATCCTTGTAAATCTTTTCTGAACCCTTTTAAGTTTCACAACACTCTCCCTATAGCAGGGAGACCAGAGTTGCTAACCGTACCTCCTATGTTCACATCCAATCATTTACATAACTGTTGAAAAGCAGTGGACCCAGCACCGATCCTTGTGGCACACTGCTGGACACAGGCCTCCAGTCTGAAAAGCAAACCCCAACCACCACTCTGCTACCTTCGAGTCAGTTC